CACATGTGCGTGCATGCCCAAGATCCCGAGAGAAGAATGGAGGAGAAGGGATTGTAGCGTGGCCATCCCTCCTGTGGGGTGATTTCTCGCTTTCTATCTCTCTGTCTCTTTCTGTCTTTCTGCAAACTCAGAGCAAGCTTTTCACATGAGAAGTAGAGGGAGATGACTTGCCTGCTGTAAGATGCACCTTTGGCTTCGGGGCCACCAATTTTATGCCATGAATTTATTAGATGTTAGGCAACAAGACACTGACCTGTGGACTCGCGGTGGGCACACGGGGTTTGGAGAGCACCCTCTGCATCACCGTACCCTAGTGTCCACTACGGGGGTCCTCTGGCCCCTTGACCACATTCCCAGTGATTATCAACAGCTTGTGGTCTGCTGACCCTTTCAGGGGCCAAGAAAGAAACCAGCAGCTAGGACAATGACGCCATGCAACGGCATTTACCGGGCGGGAGACACAGCGTCCGCAATCAAGATCTTCCCCAACAACATAAACTTCACATTCTTCGTAGGACGATAAACTTTATGAAGCAATGCTTTTCGCTCCCCAGATGTTTTCTTTGTTCTACTTAATTTCTCTAGATACTGCCCCAAACATTAGCTGCTTTCATAATTAAGACTAATGATAAAGCATCCAAGACTCATTAGTATCCTCCCACCTGAGACCGTGGGAGGGGTTCTCGAAGTGCGGTCTCCAGACCAGCAGACTCAGCACCACTTAAAAACTTAGAAATGCAAATTATTGGGTCTCTTGCCAGATCTTCTAAATCAGAAACTCAGGATAGGGAACAGCCATTCATATTTTAATAATCCTCCAAGTGATTCTGATTCCCTCTCAAGTTTGAGAAAATGACTTGGAGGGGCTAGTGCATGGCCTCTCAGAAGCAGCATCAGAAGGCCCTGCAGACGACCTAGGAGCCCGTCAAAGGGCCACGGACTTCCCCCCACTTGTGACGACAGAAAGCAGGGAGTTCTTGATCTGAGCGGATGTCTTCTGGGCTCTAGGGGAAGGAACATGCTGAAGAAACACATTCTAAATAATTTGTTCATATATGGCATGTTTAATGAATTTCCTCTCCCAAATAAAAATAAAACATCTTTGAGGGACCTCCTCCACTTCCAACTATCACCTCTGTGGAGCTGGCTCCTAATCTGTGCTGTCTGCTTAGATCCACGCAGTCGGCTTCCATGGGCACCCTCCTCTGGGTACTCTGTGGACATTTGAGTTTAACAGATGAGCCTTATCGTCCTCGTCCTCATCCCACTCCGCGTGACACCCCTCAAAGATGGCATCTCCGTCCCTCCGTTACCTGAGCCAGGCCTGCAGACTCCCCCCTCGACCTGCTCCAGACTCATGGGCTCTGCTCTTGGGCAAATCTCCCTCTGGTCTCCTCTGGTTAGCTCTCCTTACGACCGCCCACCTCACCTTCTGTAGGCATCCCACTAATTTTCTAGTTGGCTCTCCTGCCTCCACATCCACGCTCTTACTCTCTCGCCCATTGTTGAGGGAACATCAGAGATCTTTCTAACACACGCATCCAGTCTCGTTCTTCTCCCAGTCTGACAGCTAAGAGAATGGCGATGGGGTGTTGGAGAGGCAGTTACTAGATGCCGACAGTGCCCCGCCGGTCCCCAGGCCCTACGTCTTGTGCACGACATCGACTCCCAACCACCAGCATCCGGATGTCTCCACTTGCAAGCTTTCGCTGACCTTTGCAGCCGGCTTTGTTGCCCCTGCGGTGGGCCAGAAATGTGGGGCGTTAGTGCCCCTACCCCAGGAAATGCCCACACTGATCAGAAATGTGGGGCGTTAGTGTCCCCACCCCAGGAAATGCCCACACTGATCAGAAATGTGGGGCGTTAGTGCCCCCACCCCAGGAAATGCCCACACTGATCAGAAATGTGGGGCGTTAGTGCCCCCACCCTAGGAAATGCCCACACTGATCAGAAATGTGGGGCGTTAGTGCCCCCACCCCAGGAAATGCCCACACTGATCAGAAATGTGGGGCATTAGTGCCCCCACCCCAGGAAATGCCCACGCTGACGGAGGAGAGTATATACACCCCCAAGTGCACAGAAGTCCCCAGCCCTCGTTCGCAGGGTGAGATAACAGGTTTGTTCCACCCCGGCTTCCAGAATATGCCCCCAGATTTCAGGCCTAGCTGCCCACAGTGGTAGCTAACAAGGGGACTTCTACACGTTCATGGGAAAATAAAATTAAATACAAGTTGGTTTGGTGCAAACCACCTTGAAATCCAAGCACAGCGTCTCCTAGTGCACGTTCTCTCTGCCTGTCCTCGCCCACCCCTCTAGTCCTTCACAGGCTCCCTCTCCCTTCCCACCTGGCTTTCCCCTCCAGCACAGCAATTCCTGCACTTCCTTCGACGTCTCTCACTGCTGGCTTCTTGGAAAAACCAAACGAGAACGCTCTGCACCACCTGGCAGACTCCTGCCTGAATCCAGAGGGTCTGTGTGTGGCATTCTGTCTGCTCGGAATGCGTTTCCTCTTTCTTCTCCCCGGTGCACTCTCGATCTTCCTTCCAGTGCTAGTGTGAACGTCACGTCCCTTAGGAAGCGCTCTGTGGCCCCTCTTCACCAGACGCCGGCCCAGTACTACTGTCTCTGTGCTGCTCCGTCACAGCGCTGATCATGGCCACGATTTAATCCACTGTCGGGTCATTACATGCTTCCCACGTTGACCCCTAACGAGACTGAGCCACCCGAGGGCAGGGACCACCATACATAGCGGACAACCGCTGTCCCACTGGCACCGAGCAGCGAGGACTCACTGACTTTTGGAAAGATGAGTCTTGTCAGAGACTAGATGCAAGTTTGAGGGTCGTTCACACAGGTAACGTTACCAAAGCTCTGAATGGAAAAGACCTTCATCCACATGGAACCTACATGGGTCTACGCTTATTTCTTGTGATAAAAGGTAACTTTTATATGTAGGAGGGATGCCCACCATCTAAAGGAGAATCTTGATGTGGTTTCTTTTCTTTTCTTTTTTTTTTTTTTTTAAGAGAGATTTTGTGGTTATAGGATGTGTGTGCACTTGCTGGAGAGACAGAGAGACAGAGAGACAGAAAGCGAGAAATCACCCCCAGGGGAGTTGGCCACGCCGCAATCCCTTCTCCATTCTCCTCGTGGGATCCTGGGCATGCACATACACGCACCTGGCGTGAGTTTAAGCAACCGGGTCTGGGACTCGAACTGTGGTGGAGTCCACTACGACTACATGGGAGTCCAGTGACGTAGCCATTATGCCATCTGCTGGCCCCAATGTGGTTCACTTTTATCCATGAAAGATGTGGTCTAATGGCCAGCCGTGAGAATTATGCTGCTCAGAGGCTGAGACCACGTGGGGGTCCAGGTTTGGTTCCCAGACCAACTGAAATAAGCCAGCTGCACATGTGTCGTCCTGGCAGGCTGGGGGCTGGAGCAGGAGAACCCCGCCATGGTGACACCTGGTCGAAAACCAACCAGTGGGCCCAGCCACAGCGGTGCAGCGGAGCTCAGGATGCTGCGTGCTGGAGGCTGCACAGGAGGTGCGGGTGTGTCCCTGGGCTGGCGTGTACTCCGGGGTGGGGATGCGTTCTCATGGTCCTGGCTGGCTGGGGAAAGTACTGCCGCGAACGACTTTGTTGAGGGTACTCGTCTCTCTCGTTCTCACTCTCCTTTTCTCTCATTAAAAATATTTTAAAAATAGGGACCAGCGGATGGTGCATAATGGCGCATCCCGGTTACGTCGCTGGACCCCCGCGCAGTCACACAGGCACTCACATCAGGTGTGCGCGCCCGAGATCCTGAGAGGAGGACGGAGGAGGGACTGCGGTGCGGCCATCCCCTGGGAAGTGATATCTTGCTTTCTCTCTCTGTCTCTCTTCACTGAGCACTCATGTCCTATGGTAAATCTCCACCCCTGAAAAAAAAATCAGAATCGCACCCCAAATCCACCACTCCCTCGTTCACTCACTGAATACATCACTGGGTTCTGTACCTGGCACACCCCAGAACTACCAATCATCAAGAATGTCTCCATGTCCCTAACAGATCATGTTAACGGAGGTACCCCAGCTTTGTCTCTGCCTCCTGAGTCCTATTTCCACACTGGGATTTTGGCTTTCATTAAAGGAATGGGAACAATTGTATGAAATTGATCACTGTATTTTCTGGAAAAGAGGAACTGAAGACATTGCCTATTTTGTCACATGGTGCTCACACGGGAGAATTCTTTTAGAGGTGAGTGGCGTGAAGCAGGGTGAATTTGAACCACAGAGGAATACACACACTTGCCATCTCCTGGCCAGACAGACTCTCATGATCCCTAACCAGGCCCTCTCCCTCTACAGGGATGAATCCGGGTCTCGTGGGGTTTACGACTTATGTAATTTGGAATCCCTCTTTGGGAAAAAGCACAAAATTACAAATGGAAAGGTGACACAGTACCTTGGGAAGAGCCTGACTGGATAAGGGCTTGGAAGGCTAAGCTTCATATATTTCATAGAAAGCCAGCTTCTGACCTGAGCACGGGGAACTGGTCTCTCCTTGCCTCTAACCCTGCCACGTCTGCTCTTCCTCGGAAAGCTCACCCCAGCCCCTGCCCCGCAGTTTTCCAAAGGCGGCTCCCACTACGCCGCCCCTGACTCTGCCCAGGAGAACGCTGCTTTCCCTGACGCTTGCAGCCCGATGGATAGTGCTCAGGTGCTTGTCACGAGTCGCTCGATTTGAAGTGCACGCCGCATGTCCAGATTCTAGGCACGGGGCCTGTGCTTCTCTTAGCCCCTTCCCAACACTAAGTGCGGTCCTGGGAACAGCAAGAAGGAAAGACAAAGGACAGTACGACCTCAGCACATTGCGGGCCTGGAGTTGGGAGGCCTCCCGGAGACTCAGCTCTGCCCTCCGCAGGGTCACTAACCGCCCTGGTCTGCTTCTCTCTGGCACCGTGAGTATGATGAAGCACTCGGAGAGCAGGGAGCGCGGGCGCGGTCTTGTACCTGGCCCAGGGTGCACTCCATGCTGCCCAGGAAGTCGGCCTCCTTCAGCCCGTTGTGGCTGCTGCTGATGTCATGGACCTCAAACCGCAGGCGCTGCACCTCCTCAAAGTAGAAGTCCACGGTGAACAGCTTCGAGTACACCGGGTTGATGCAGGTGCGGATCACTTCCGTCCTATCGACCTGCAGGAAGGGAGAAAGAGAAAACTTCTCAGGGATTAGGATTTACTATTGCGGGGCCGGCAGGTGGCATGGTGGTTGGGTGCTGGACTCCCACGTGGCCGACGGCAGCTCCAGTCCCAGACCTGGCAGCCTGCGTTCTCACTTTCCTTCTCTCTCTCAGTCTGTCTCTCTCTGGTCAAATGAAAATATATAAGTAAAGGGGACCAGCAGTTAGCATATGGCTATGTCGCTGGACTCCCATGTAGTCAACCGTGGTTCACGTCCCGGACCCGGTGGCTTAAAACTCACACTGGGTGTGTGTGCGTGCATGCTCAAGATCCCGAGAGGAAAATGGAGGAGAAGGGATTGCGGTGTGGCCATCCCTCCTGGGGGGTGATTTCTCGCATTCTGTCTCTCTGTATCTGTCTGCCTGGCGAGCCCATGTGCCCTATGGCAAAAACCTCTCCAAAAATAAATTAAAAAAATAAATAAGTAAATAAAGATAAAGAAAATGATTCTTAAGAAAAAATAGCCCTTCAATCAAATTGATTTCTTGGACTTGTTCTTTTTCTCGACTGTAAATCCCTCCATTAAGTCACCAGAGTGGGAGTGTCACAAGTCTGCAGGGCGATTCCTTCAGAGCACAAGCCAAGTTTTGGGAAGGAAAATCTTATTAAACATCACAAAGAATCTGAAGCTTTGTATTTAAGACTTTAGAGTGCATTACATTATTAGGTTACAGGGAAAGATGGATTGATCTTTAATCGTCACCTGCAGCCTCGGGGACAGTGTCTGAGGGTACGTCTTAGCTCAGGAGGACGAAGTCTGTAGTCGGTTAGTGATGTCTGATAGGCACAGGGTGGGCAGAAGGGCCTTGCTTTAGCTGGCCTGTGCCCACTGTGAGTTTCCTGAGTTGTAATTGTCACCATAAGGAAGCAGAAAGGCTATGACGACTATTCAGATACCTGCCTTAGGTCTAAGTGTACACAAGTCTGTGTGCTTCAGTCCCCGAGTTCTGTTCTCTCATCAGCAAAGTGATTAGAGGGCCGGAGGACGCGTCCCTTCTTGCCCTCACTCGAGGCCCTGTGACCCCCTTTGCCGTCCCCACCTGCCCCGACTAGACCGCCACATAGACACGGGCGAGCACTTGGGCACTGCCCTACCCGCTTCACACGCCTGCCCCACTTGTCCCCCAAAGCCACATGTCGCCGCGATGACTGTCGTTCACGTGCGGGAACTCGAGGTCTGTGTGGCCACCCAGCTACTGCGCAATGGAGCCACCTGGATTTCCCTTAACGCTCCTTCCTGGGGCTTGCCTTCTCCCTTGGAGACAGACCTACTCCAGGACCATCTGACCACGAGGTACCTCTCACACTGAGCGCAGCTGCTCCGAACACTCGGTACCTCTCACACTCACTGGAGAAAAACCATCTCGAGCTCTCTCGACGGGGCAGTAGAGGTTTGTCCGGTGTGACTGCCGGGTTTCCGGCCCAGCCTTCTCGGTCTTCAAATACCCCCTCCCCCCGTTAAGCTCGCTCTCCAGGTATGCCCCTTAGGACAGCCCCTCAAGAACAGCTCAGGGAGATCTGGGTGTCCCGAGAGAGTAAAGAGAGGGTTCCACAAGATAGAACGGCGTTTTTCAGGCTAACTCAGCCGCTCTCTGTGCCCAGCTCCAGCTGTAAACCGACACTTACATGGCAGACCATCCGAAACTGCCCGGCAAAATTCACACAGAGCCTGCCAGGCCCGGAGCAGGAAGGTGCTGGGCTGTGGTCTCCACGGGCGGTGATGTCAGAGCCTCGGCGCAGGGAGCACGGGGCGGCCCCACATGTGTGTGAGCACGGGGCTGGCCCACGTGTGTGAGAGCACGGGGCTGGCCCACATGTGTGTGAGCACAGGGCTGGCCCACATGTGTGTGAGCATGGGGCGGCCCCACATGTGTGTGAGCACGGGGCCAGCCCCACACGTGTGTGAGCACGGGGCCGCATGTGTGTGAGCACGGGGCTGGCCCGCATGTGTGTGAGCACGGGGCTGGCCCACATGTGTGTGAGCACGGGGCGGCCCCACATGTGTGTGAGCACGGGGCGGCCCCACATGTGTGTGAGCACGGGGCGGCCCCACATGTGTGTGAGCACGGGGC